AAAAGAGATTTAGATAGGAACCTAAAATGCATTGGGAATATGGTCAGGGAATCTGACATTTTGTGGTAAACCTTGAGTCCAGGTGAGACTTATGCCTTATTTGAGGATGAATTAATAGCGTAAGATCCAAGAAAAAAAGATAATATGCCTAAACAGGACTGAAGTATAGAGATGTTCCTACAGCCTGTTATCACACTTAATGTGTATGAGACCTCAGTGGCATACTGCAACTTGCAGACTGTTGTCTCTTAAGACTGCAATGGGGCCTAAGATCATCATTCCTAACTAACCCCAATCATACCATGCTGTGGTCTCTAGACCAACTCTTTGAGTGTGAGGGATTAGAGCCCTGGTTCTAATTTACTAACACTATTGAATTCCTGGAAAGTTTTAAAAATATCATGCCGGTCCCACCTCATGAGATTCAATAATTGGTAATGGAGTGTGACATGAGCATCATGATTTATGAAAGTTCTCAGGGGATTTTTATTATGCAGCCAAGTATGAGAAGCACTGCATTAGAGGAGAACACCCAGAAGTAGCGATGAATAGGAGGTTGCAAGAGGTCTAAAATGAACAAGAAGCTCAAAAATAACCGGGTTCTTGCCTAGTATTAGAGAAGTGTGTGCATATGTGTGTTTAGTTCCTATATTATATAATGATGGCAGAGAGAGTAGAGCCTTCGAGCTGATTTTGGCAGAAGATAAAGCCAGTTCCAAAAAATGAAGCTCAAGGATGAACTGTAACTATCAAACTCTTCAGGTTAGCAAGATTATGCTTTCTGACACCACTGGGCTCTCAACAAGACCGAGAACAAGATCTCATCATTAAAGTGTGACACAGAGGCTGAGTGGTGATCTGATGGGCGGGGTTTGGACAAATGGCTACTACAAAGTGTCAGGAGTTTGGCCTCTGACCTCAAAGTTTCCTTATGAGGGCAAGACTTTCAGAGCCCTGATTGACCTAAGCACTACCTACATGGTCAGTTGTCACTCTGGTAGTTACTTTACTTTCAAAAGTTTTAGCAACTGCGCGAATAGTATAACCAAAAGAGACCTTATTATTTGACTAGGGCTTTAATTATAAAGATGACTTCTTTCCCTTAATTTGAATTATAATCATTTTTATGCAGTTTGATAAATAATAAACCTACCTTTCTCACCTTATTTGATTGCTTCATAAGCATGATATTAGAATAATATTTGAAACAAAGGCTTATGGGCTTTTTATTATGAAAAATAATTAAACCATATTACTTCATAAGAATAATCAGCTCCCTACCACCACTCTCAAACACACACACACACCACACACACACACCAACAGCACACACCATATGTTTAAATTCTTAAAAACCAGAAGAATGGTGTGAAGCATTTATTCTTTCATGTGCTCAATAATGGAGAGAGAGATCTTGGGTGATTCTGTTTATCCCGTTATGATTTCACCTCATTTAGTGTCAAAAAAGTGGGCAAATAATCAGACCTCAAACAGAGGCAGTATAGGAGAAACAAAATGGCTTGATAAGGTCCAGGGAGAACTGGGATGAATCCTGGTGCTGCCATTCCTTAGCTGCCCATGATCTAAGATGATCTAAGGCAAATTGCTCTAGTCATGGTATCATACTTTCCATGTATATATGTGACCAGTGATCACTAAGAAAACACTCTTAAGTGCCTGTGCAGTGCTGGACATTTGTGGGTCAACAAAGGGAGTATCATTATAACTGTCAAAATGATTTATAGCCCTCTGATTCCAGGCACTCATTCATAATTATGAGTAGTGGGTAAACTGAGTGGCAGCTGTCCTTTCCCAAAGTGGCAGCTGTTTATTTATTTGCTAAGATTAGAACACCCTGGAAAATAGATAACTTAAAGACATGATTCTTGTTTAATAATACGGAAGAATTAAACAATCCTTGCATCCAGGGATTATCTGGCCACAATTCCAGTCCCTACTGTTGGAAAGGATGACATCAGCAGGCAGCAGCAGCTGTGGAGATTACTTTATTGAGCTATCTTAGCCACCTGTTCAGGCACTGCTCAAACTGCTTTCCATGCATTGACTCTTTTAATGGAGGTGCTTTGTTGATCCCATTTTACAGATGAAAATGAGGCTCAATCAGTGGAAGTTGTCCAGGACTAACAACTGGTAATATATAATGAAGGTATATGTTCCATAATATCTTATCTGCAGTCTCGAAATCCATACAGATCAAGAAACTAATGTTTTTATTCAGTCAGCAACTCCTTTTGATGTCAGCATTTACCTGACTAACATGTGGACTATTTTACAGTCTATTATCCACTTAATCTGAGTATATCATCTGTTCACTTAGAAAAGTTACTGTCTCGATCCAGGGTGAACTCTGATCTCAATAGAGGGTGTTACATCACATGGCATTATAATTATACATGGATTACATTTCTGAAATCCAAATAATTCTGCATTACTGAAACATTAGTCCAAGTGTTTGGGTAGGAGTCATGGCCACTGCTGTTAATAATGATCCATATTTAAGTTTACTCGATGGATTAGTTAAGTATTGTGAGCTGAACTGTTAAAGCTCACCATGTAAAAAATGACTTGCCAATGGCTTTTGGAACCAGACATCCTCTAGTTAGCTTTGCCATATAAAGCCAGAAGACGAATTGTCAAAGCCTGCCCTGTGGAGATGCTGGTGCAACTGAGGGAAGCCTATAGGATACATGGTAACGACAAGAAACTAAACTTGAGAACAGCTGGCCAACAATCAATCTAATTCTGTAATTAAAGTTAAGAGAACTTTAACATATTTGGGAAAGGTGGAAGCATATTCCATTCCCCAGCTCCTTGAAGATACTTTTACAATTTTTCTTTTTTTTCTGAAGCAAATAGAAGATAGCCTCAGGCAATGTTAGAGAGGTAGCCCCTAAGCTGTCCTTCTTGATCTCAAGTGTGGGCGCGGTGGTCAACGCCATTTACAAGTTGGCGCCTGTTTCCGGCTTTGCCTAGAGCAGCAACAAGTTCAGCGCACGCGCAATTGTCGGTTGCCCTGTGCGCGAGAATGCAAACGAAGGTGTCTGCTATGGACTAATGCTTGGTGGCTCGACAGCTGAGCGGCCTATCCCAGCTTAGGGTTGTGCTTCTGGTTATATAGCAGCCTGCGCGCTGCCGGGCTGGTCTTCCATCATGTAAGTCTAAAGGGAACCCCATTAAAGCACTGTCAGAAGAACTCCGGTTGCCGCGTCTTCCTTGCTGGCGAGGCGGGCGCGACAAGTGGTGCCGAAACCGGGAACCGAAACAACTTTGAAGCACCAGCGGAGACGACCTCGACAGAGGTGAGTTCAGAACTGACGTGTGGGACAGCCAAAACTCCCCTGCTTCCAAAAGATGGGTAATATTCCACTGCGGCGCCTTTTGTGGCCTATTAAGAACCTCTTAGCATCACAAGGAGTGCACTGTGAGGAAAGGACCCTCATAAAATTTTTGAAGGAGGTGGACCGTGTAGCTCCTTGGTTCCTCCACTCAGGTTCCTTGACCATTCCCTCTTGGGAGAAGTTAGGGCGAGACCTTCGTGGCGCAGGACTTTTAAAGCCAGGCACTCTCCTTGTTCACAACCTAATTATGGAGTGCCTGCATGATGAAAGCTCAGGCCCGCGCGTAGCGGCTAGCCAAAGAGCATTAAATGATTTGCAAGACGCAAGTTCGGAGAGAAGCAGTAGGGGAGGGACCGCGGTAAAAGGTGGAAAAAAGGAATATAGAGCTCAAAAAAGGAAAATGCAGGGAGGGAAAGCGCAGCCCGATCTGCCTAATTGTGACCCCTTACCAGATTTTGACAATCTACATTTATCTGACACTGCTGACTCTGAGTCAGACTGCGACAGTAGCCCAGAGTCAGATGAGGAACTAGAAAAGAAAGAGGAACCAGTTTTTCAGGAAGCGGCCGGTTGTGAGCGGTACCGCCCACCTCCGCATGCCCCGCCTTGGGAAGGGCTGGGTTTTTCTTAGGGGCCGCTCGCCGCTGGGGATCCTCTGCCCATACCCTGGAATACAGAGGAGCCAGTGTGGGTACCCCAGTGGCCCTTACCCTCTGAAAAGTTACTCGCGGCCCATAATCTAGTGCAAGAGCAGCTTACTCTTGGGCATCTTGAACCCTCTCAATCTCCTTGGAATACCCCTATTTTTGTGATTAAGAAAAGGTCTGGTAAATGGAGACTGTTGCATGACCTTAGAGCAATTAATGCCCAGATGCAGCTTATGGGGCCTGTTCAAAGAGGACTGCCCCTTCTCTCAGCTTTGCCTAAACATTGGAGTCTAATTATCTTGGACATTAAAGACTGTTTTTTCTCTATTCCCTTGCACCCACAAGATAAAAGCAGATTTGCATTCACGCTTCCTTCCATAAACCACGAACAGCCTGATGCAAGATATCAATGGCAGGTTTTGCCTCAGGGCATGGCTAACAGTCCCACTATGTGCCAACTTTATGTGGCCTCAGCTATCCAGCCGGTTAGGCAGAAGTTTTCAAAGGTAAGAATTATACACTATATGGATGATATTCTCTTGTGTCATTGTGATGATGGCGTACTTCGTCAAGCTTATGCGTCCCTTCAGGCTCACTTAAAAAGGCTTGCTGGTCGCTCCAGAAAAGGTGCAAGAGGGAGAAGTAGGTGCGTTTCTTGGTAGTAGCATTCTCCCTGACAAAATTGTGCCTCAAAGACTGTCCATCCGAAGAGATGCTTTGAGGACCTTAAACGATTTTCAAAAACTGCTAGGGGATATCAATTGGCTTCGACCTTTTTTATGTCTTACCACAGCAGAACTGAAGCCATTATTTCAGATTCTAGAGGGAGACTCACACATTACGTCCCCTAGAACTTTGACTCCTGAGGCCCTAAAGGCTCCTCATAAGGTAGAAGAAGCCATTCAAAAGGCGCAACTAGTGCGCATTCAACACCATGATCCTTTCTCCCTCTGTGTACTCCCTTCTCCTATGCTCCCTACGGCAATACTTTGGCAGGATGGTCCCCTTTTATGGGTGCATCCTCAAGCCTCTCCAGGAAAGGTGATTGGCCATTATCCTACCTGTGTGGCCGAGATAGCTTTAAAGGGTATTAGTTTGGCTGTGTCCCATTTTGGGCGTCACCCTGATAGCCTGATTTGTCCATATACTGCCAATCAGGTGAACACCTTATGTGCCACTCTTGATGTATGGGCCATATTGAGATGCACCTTTCCAGGGAGCATTGACAACCATTATCCCAGACATGCCTTGTTGCAGTTTGCAATGAGGAACGAGCTTATTTTCCCCAAGAGTAACTTCGCTGCAACCTTTGGTTGATGCCTTGGATGTGTATACCGATGGCTCTAAGACGGGTATTGGGAGCTATGTCATTCAGGACAAGGTGTATACAAAACAGTTTAACTATTCTTCTCAGCTAGTAGAGTGTGCCGTAGTCGGTCTGGTTCTCAGTACCATCACTGAACCTATCAACATCATCTCAGACTCCTTTTATGTGGTCAACGCAGTTAAACAGTTAGAGAACTCCTTTCACATTCTTGCCAAGAGTACCCCGCAGCCAGTATGGTCCAGGTAACAGAGATGAGCTCTGATATGGCTGAATGGAAAATGGGTTTTCCCCTATTTTTGAATAGAGTTCCTAATTCTGATAAATACAAGAAAAGAACTGTACTC